AAGTATAGAAGCAAAGATAGTTGGTGATATAGCTGCACCTAGTGTGGTTTCTACTTGTGTTGGCAGAGTGATAAGAAGTAAAACACGTGGACTTTCTGAGTTTAGGCAATTTATTTTATTTTTTGAGTTTTGCATTCCATATCTTTATATTGTATAAAATAATCTAAAGGATTGATAAATTAGAGTTATAGCTAATATACCAGGCCCATAATACTATGACTGTTTTCTATTATGTAACTGATGTTCTAGAAATGTAACAGAATAAAAAATCAGTAGTTTCATCTATATGGAAAATATTTTATCAGTTTCAATAAAAATGACATACTTTTCATTATTGACTTTGCTATTAATAAGTGCCTATGCAATAAAAAAGTGAGCACAAGCTCTAAGTCAGATTTGCTGTACTGAAATCCAACTCTTAACACTTTATAGCTGTTTGAATTTGGATAGGTTCCTTCATGGAGCAGAGCTGCTTTAATTTTTTTCTTTTGCATTTATAAAGCTGAAAAAATATCATGTAACACATGAATATGTTGAAAGAATTCAATAAAATATTTTTTGAAAATTGCAATAAGTGTTCCATAAATGTGAAATATATTAATGCAAAAGTAGTAAAAACATTTAACAACTTCGTTAGACAGAGTTGGATTTAAATATTTAGTAAGTGTGTTAGCTGCTTGCTATGGTAGCACAAGAAATGATCAGGGCCAGCACTGTCGTGTAGTTGGCAAAGCTGCTGCCTGTGACACTAGCATATCATAGGAGCAGGTACTGGTTTGCGTCTAGCTCCTCCACTTCCAGTCAAGCTCCCTGCTAATGACCTGGGAAAGGCAGCGCAGAATGGCCCAAGTGCTTGGTCCCCTGCCAGCCATGTGGGAGACTCTGGTCTTTGTGGGGAGTGAATCAATAAATGGAAAATCTGTAACTCTTTCTGTGTGTGCTTCTGTCTCTGTAACTCTTTTAAGCAAATAAATAAATAATCTTAAAAAACAAATCACACAGAAATCCTCTTCACTACCACAAGCATTTGATTTCTTCACTGGGCATTAATACTATGGGAATATGCAAGCTCCTACACAGAACAGCATAATGCGTTTCAGAATCGAAAAGGTAACTACCCTGAAGAATTATCTTGCAGTTCTGAGATTCACCATGATAAACATGACAACAGGATGGACATGTAGCCTAGCAGGTAAGGTAGCAGTTAAAACACCCACGTACAACATTGGAGCAACTGAGTTAATTCCCTGGTTCTGACTCCTGACTTTAGTTTCCTACTGAGGACCTTGAGGTAATGGTGGTGGCTCAAGTGATTGGGTTCACAAACTCATGTGCAATGACAGATTGAGTTCTGGGTTCTTGGCTTCAGCCCAGCCGAGTCCCGGCCATGGATCATTCAGCATTGTGGAGGATGGGCTCTCTCGCTCTCTCTCCTCTCTCCCTCTCTTTCTCCATCTTGAATGAATGAATGAAAATGAAAAAATGATGTTCACAAATCTGTTCTGCCAGTCTCGGTGAATCTGGTGTTTGTGGCCTCTAGCCAACTCTGCTCTTGTCTTGTCAAACTTCTAGCATTCTGAGCACTGACTCTTATAGTTGCTTTTTGTCTGGTTGTCACTCTGATAGTTGATGGTACTTCCTGGCAATTTTACTCACCTAGAAAGTCTGTCTCCCAATTCCTTGCCAATGGCTTTATAAGCTGTATAATTCTTAAATTTGTTTTATGAGAAGTAAAATATGAAATATAGAAAAGCTGTGGACATTTAAAAATCATTTTAATTGAAAGGCAGAGATGCAGAGAAAGACAGAGCTATTTCATCAACTAGCTTACTCTCCAAATACTAGCAACAGCGGAATCTGGGCCACGATGGAGCCAGGAGCTCCATCTGGGTCTCCTTTATGGGTAGCAGAGAACCAAGTACTTGAGACATCTTCCGCATCCTCCCAAGGTGCATATTAGCTGGAAGATGGAATAAGTTCTGGAGCTGAGATAAAAATGCAGGTGCCATGATATAGGAGGTGAATGTCCTGAAGTGACACCTTAATTTCTGCACCAACATTTGTGCTAGACTCATGCTTCTTTGTTCAGGAGTTGCTAAATGAATAAACTATGCATAAGTTGAGTTTTCATATGACATCTTGTTAATGACATCTCATTTATGATCCCCCCATACTCTATCATTCTACTATACTTGTGTCTATATTTGGGTATGTTTCTCCAAAAAAAAATAAAGTGCTATTATAAAATTAATTCAGTATCAATGAAAAGAAAGCTAGTTTTTAAAAATATTTACATTTCATATTCTAAGTAAAAACCCATATTTTTACTTAAAATGATAATAAATGGTAAACATACATGACTTTGAAAATAAGCTTAGACTATGCAATTAAGTCAATAGTTCAGATAATATTTATTACAAAAATAAGTAAAATTTCCCCATTAGTTTTCCTATATTCTCTTCTGTAGAGTTTGCTAATTTCCTCACTTAAGACTTCCTGGTGATGACAGATGCACAGCATAAACATACATGAGCACAACAAATAAGTGTGTTGTACTAGACACCTCTGCTTTACTTCACCTTTTCCTGACCTCATCTGGTTTCTTCCTCAGTTTTAGAAAGCCTGCATGTGCAGATTTTGTCCTATTCGGAGCTTATATGGTGCTTAACTTCAAATATGCTCCATACATCTGTTACTTTCACTTTAGGAGACTTATGATTCCTCGCACGTGCGTGGTACTAGAGCCCAAGTAACACAGGACATGAGTTTAAAATACAACTAAGAAGGGGCCAGCTCTGTGGCATAGCAGGTTAACCCACCTTCTGCATTTCCAGTATCTCATATGGGCTTCAGTTGGACTCTGGCTGCTCCACTACCTATCCAGCTCCCTGCTGATGCACCTGGGAAAGCAGTGGAGCACCTCCCAAGTGCTTGGGCCCTTGCACCCATGTGGGAGACCTGAGGAGGCTCCTGGTTCCTGGCTTCACATTGACACAGCCCTGGCAGTTGAGGCCGTTTGGGGAGTGGACCATTGGATGGAGCATCTCTAGCTCTCTG